TCTTTATATGGGATTTAAAAAAAAAAAAAAAAATTCTAGTGGGGATCTCAAATCAATATCATTAATGGATAAACAAAATAAACAGGCCCAGACCTTAAAATAGACTTCTGTATGAGAAGGACATTACATCCCGTTTTTTTAATTTGCTTCACTAAATTTAGAATATAGGCTCTCTCTTCTCGCAGCACTCGGTCCATCTGGGCATAGTCAGAAACTACGATCTGATTATCCATCTGTTTAGGAAAAAACATAAAAATTTGCACCATAAGAGATTTTAAGTGAAAAAATAAAAGATATTTAAGTAAAAATATTACATATAGTATAAATTCAACCAAAAATCACATCAAACAATAAGTTATATAGACATGCATAGAAAAAAGTTTGAAAAGACATACATACATCAAACTTGTCTTTTACTTTCAAATATATCCCATCCTTTGTTATTTAAATTTTTGCCAGTACATGTTTAATAAATGAAAAATATAAAATGATAGTCCCCTTTAATGAATGTCAATCTTTTCATATGAACTGTATATGTATTACTAAAATAGTTGCATCCCTCTTATTCTATGGCTTATGATAAGAGTGGTATACTGAGAAGACAAGGACAAATCCTGTTTATATCAAAAACATTAAACATTAGTTTTTGTATGGGTTAAACTTTTGAGAAGTAAACTATTAATAAGGAAACCTGTATATTAGTATAATGCAAAATGAGAGCAAATCTGAGTGAGGTGACAACCACCCCTTTTACAAAATGGTATTTATAACTAATGCATATGGGAATATCTTTAGTAAAAAGTAATTTCTTCGGAGCATGGATATTAGACTGGTTTAATGTTCCATCTGGACAAATGTCGATCAAAAGATCTGCAAAAGCTACTGGATGACTAAGGTTTATATTCTCAGGAAGCTAGAAAGAATGTGAAAATTCCACATACACTATAACTTGTAGACATAATCTGTTTTTATTTCATACATACCCCTAACTGTTATTTGTCTTGATCTGTGAAGTACATCAGCACTCAATTTCAATGAATACCCAATTGAGGCACCAACAATTTCTACTTTTGTCTCCATTTTACCAATTCTTTTGAGTTCTATGTTTTTTAACACTAATCAGAATTTTCTATTTTTATTTTAATAAACAACTATCTGAGTTATTAGAAAGTAAAACACATAAATAGGGAACCAATTTTATTTGGATTCTACTTACATCTGTTTTGGGAGCAGACAAGCAAAACTGAATAAGCCCAATCTTAGCCTTTTCAACTCTGGTTATGCCAGAATTTGCCACTTTTTGGGTGAGAACCAGACCTTCCACCAACTCACAGTCATCAATTGTCCCACTAAGAAAAAAGAAAACAGAGGAGATAGTTAAAAGGTGGTAAAATCTCTTGAGTTTAGTAGATTGCTAACAGTTTAAAAATCACCAGCCCAATAAAATATGCTTCAGCTGCACATTTATTAGTTTCCCACTGTTGGACCTCTTTGATCCACCACTGCCCTATCACTGTAATAAAGTATAAACAAAATCTTGAGAATCCCATACTAATAAAAGTTCTCCTGAAAACAGAACCAAAAAGAAAAAAAACAAAGCTTTGTGACATTTTTCTACGTATTTATCATTTAACCTATGTATTTTTGGCAATAGCTTATGCTCACTTTCAAATTTTTATCAAAGCTGTAATTAGAGATGCTTACCCAAGCTTCTTAACTATTTTAATATCTCTAAGATCTACACTAGTAGCTGTGGCTGGGTCAATCACTTTCATCACTGCATTTACACTCATGGGAGAAAGCAGACTTGAATATTGAGACACAACCTAGAATTATTAAAAAAAAAAAAAAAGTTACCACCACAGTAGAAAAAGTCCTAATCTTCAATAACAAATATATTTAAGAAGGACCCTCAATCACTTTTTTTTAGGTGGGATGGGGGTGGAGAAAAGGGACCACATGAAAAACATTCCATACAAATTTTCTTTTCCACTCACATTGTCAGTCACCAGGGGCACAAAATAAAAATATGTATGGTTGTCTTTTTATTAATATAGCTGTTGGGACTGTCTAGATTAGCAACTAGAAGAAATCCAAAAGAATCATCAAATTATGTGGCGGTTTCCCGTCTAAAATGCATGTATGACCAAATACCAACGTTATATACATGCATCCCTAATAATGAGGGGCTGATAAAAATAGCTAATGGCTAGATAACATTTATTGATAACTTACTGTATGCTAGGTAGTGGGTCTTAGCACTTTATGTACATTAACTCATTCAATCTTCAGATGCAGAAATTTAAACAGAGAGGTTAAGTCATTTGTCCAAAGCCACACAGTTTAGTTAAGTGGTAGAGCCAGCCTTAAACATAAACAGTCTCGACTCCATGACTAATGCTTATAACCATTATGGTATACTATCTATATTAGTTTTGGGAACATTCAACAGTATCATTTAGCATTACTTGTACTCTCCAGCTCTCCACTTAACATTCAAAGGAAAAAGAATAGCGTGAAGGGGGGTTACAAGGAATGACAGAAGACAGAAGGTGACATGAGTTCTCAAGAAATTTAAAAGTACATCATTGCTTTAAGTTTGATAACTAACAAAAACAGCACAGCTATCAGATGGACCATGGATAGATAGCCTTTCTTGGGTTCAAACCTCAGCTCCACCTCTTGTTAGTGGGCCTTGGATAGTTACTTAACTTCTCTATATCTATTTTCCCATCTGTAAAATGAAGAGACAACTACTTATCTGAAAGCTTTAAAGAAGATAATAAGCGTAAAAAAGTTATAACAATGTTGTACTGCTAGAGATTCTATGGTAGTCTTTTTGATTTGGGAGGTGGAAAAGATTTAACAGGCAACTTAAAGAATGGCAAATTAGGGCTGGCCAGTTAGCTCAGTTGGTTAGAGGGTGGTGTTGTAACAGTAAAGTCAAGAGTTCGGATCCCCATTACTGGCCAGCCACCAAACAAAAAGAAAAAATAAAGTTAAAAAAAAAAACTGGAAATAGATATGGTGCATATTAAATATTCTAACTCCTTGTAACAGTAAAGTCAAGAGTTCGGATCCCCATTACTGGCCAGCCACCAAACAAAAAGAAAAATAAAGTTAAAAAAAAAAAACCTGGAAATAGATATGGTGCATATTAAATATTCTAACTCCTTTGTTAACCATACGGCTCATTTCATCTCATAATCTCACTTATACCAATTTGGTAATATAAATTACTTTATTTCCTTAGTCACTCTTGAGAATTAGTTTTTATGTACTGTACTCATAAAGCAACAAAAATTACAGAGTAAGGGTAATGCAACTTAAACTGTAATTTGACAACTATCCCTTGGTGCTTGTCTCACCTTTGAGTTCAGTGAAGTGGTTGCACTATTTAACAAAGTTTCTCTGTCACTCAGTTCCACTGGTCGAGACATATCAGTCAATATTTCAATACCCTTTTCCAAAGCTGCCTGGAATGACTCAGAAATGATGGTTGGATGAATCCCTGTAATTTGTGAAAGTCCAGTTATTTAATTATAACAGATAAACTATATATCTGACACGACAAAAATTTTATACTCATTAAAATGTCAAAGCAGTCATATTTAACTATTCTTAATTACAAACTAACTTATGCTTCAGTTGTAAATATATAATGGCTTGAATAGCCTTAACTGCTAATTAGGGATAGTAATTTACTTCTATTTAATTTGAAACAAATCAATTACATACTTACAGGGTACTTAAGATTGAAACCAAATTTCATACTTTTCAAAACAACACAAATCTATCTATTAAGTAGAATAAGTGATTTGAGAGTCACTACTAAGATTAAATGCTATTCACCAAAACAAAGACTTATTTTTTCTCTCAAATCACCTTTCTCATTTAGAGTCTAATATGAGTAATACCACCACCATTCATTTTTGAAAAGCAAAATTCTATTGAGTTTTATTTAAAAAGAAGCCTGGCAAAAATCAGAAGCAAAATAAAAGTTTTTTCTAAGTTATATTACAAATATAGCAAAATCTAAATCTAAAAATCCTAGTAAAAACATTAGTTATTCCAAATTAAATCTTAAATCCTACATTACTTAAGAATAACTTGGCTTTCTCTGTTTGTTTTTTATTAAACTTTTCTGCCTTTATTCAGCAATAAAACATGTCCTACTTACCTTTCTGAAGAAGCTTGGTACAGGAATCCAAGAGAGAGCCAGCAATGATGACTACTGATGTTGTGCCATCTCCTGCTTCTATATCTTGAGCTTTAGACAGCTCCACCAGCTAAGTGAATAGAACATGCCAAGTTGCTCAATGAGAAATTCGAGAACCCAGTAACAACTAATTCAAATGATCACATCAGTGTCATACAGAATCTGAAGATTCAATATAATTCTTGACTTCTGATTTGATGACTACATTGGGTTTCATTTAAAAATGAAAACTAACACATTTGTAGTACACAAAATTTTACTTACAAACTTCCTCTATAAGAGGTAACATTATTATTTCTGGTTCAGACTGTGGGTTCTAAGTTCCAAGCCCCCACCCCCCACTCCAGCTACTCAAAAGAAAAATTCCTACGAGAAAGCACAAATGTTGTATCATAGGTATCTTGCACACTTTGAAGTTATGAAATGCAGCATTCCAGACAAGGACAGAATATCAGTTCAGAGTCTTTTGTCAAGTTTATCTAAATCCACCCCATGTGAACATAATCTGATTCATTTAAAAATTCTTACATAATCCCATACTAGCCAGCCACAAAAAAGAAAAAAGAAAAAAAAATTTTTTTTTAACATAATCAAAAGGGACTTTTGGGGGATGACCAATTAGCTCACTTGGTTAGAGTGTGGTGTTGATAACACCAAGGTCAAAGGTCTGGACTAGCTATTTGCCAAAAGTAAATAAATAAAAATTAAAGGGACTTTTTAATAGATAGGAATTTATTTCTAAGGCATTTGTTTTTGCTGATACGGTGACTTACTTAACACTACAATCATCATGATCCTTAGCTGAACTGGTAATTATTTCTAATAAATGTCAGAACAAATTTAGACACACAATTTATTTTGGACACAACTGAAATTATTTTGTTGTCATTCAACTAACACCCAACTGATAATCTGTACTAAAAAAGTTCCGTTTCATATCTTTATCTCCTCCTTCCCCAACTGTATAGCACATTGCTGTGTACAAAGACAAAGTGATTCATGTTTTATCACCTAGCACTGAAGAGCACAATGCTATGCACACAATGTATCTTAAACAATGTATCTTTATGCCTGTTGAGCATAAAGTCAAAAAATTTTCACCATGCTTAAATGATACCATACGATCGAATAAACAAATTTATCTGTTATCAAATATCAAACAAAACACCTAAAAAAACAAACAAACAAAAACCCAAAATGAAAAAAACCTCACCTAAAATTATGCTTACCATTCTGGCTGCTGGATGTAACACTTGCATTTGCTTCAGTATGGTGGCACCATCATTTGTAATGGTCACATCACCTTTTCCATCTTGAATCTAGAAAATTTGTTTTTTAAAAAGTTATATTTTACTTTGACACCCTAAAATCTCTTCTTCATATTTCATAGTAGAGAAATTAATTTATGTCTGCTTAGTGCTTAATTTCAAAGTTTCTTCCCTTAGGGGCTGGCCAGTTAGCTCACTTCGTTAGAGTGTTATGTTGATAATGCCAAGGTCAAAGGTTCAGATCCCAACACTGGCCAGCCACCCAAAAAAAAGTTCAGATCCCAACACTGGCCAGCCACCCCAAAAAAAAGCCAAAGTTTCTTCCCTTACATTAATATAATAATTTAAGAATATGTAGCATAGTCCAACTTTAAAAATTAAATAACTGGCTTTGTTCCAGAGTACTTTAAAAGTGAAGGAATTTAGATACACAAAAGGGTAGAGAAAATACTATAAAGGGAAACAGCATTATTAGGAGGGATAGATTTTAGAATATCCTGAGGGAAAAATAATCTGTATATTGTCTAGGCAATTCTCCATGTTGTTTTACTTTTTGTTTTGACTGTTAACTAGCACTGAATTTGAGAGCTTATCACTCAAAAGTTACTGGAATATATGTTTTATGCTGCCAGTCAACCAATCTAAAAGTAAAACTGAAATCCCACAGACTCACATTAGGACACAGAGTTGCATCTATAAAGAACATGGAACTCAAGTCCTGACACCTGGACTTACTACACTTTCCATCTAACTGCACAATGGACAACTTCTGATGTATATGCACTTTCGTTGTTTAAAAAGCACTAAACAAAATATGAATGATCTTGTTCACTCTCATCTCTCCCACCTCTGAACTCTCAAGGTACCTCACACTTTTAACTTTTTTAAAAAATATATTTTACTTATTTATTTTTCCCTTACTCAAACACTCCCCAACTCCCCACTTTTTACTTTTTAAATGGCACATCTTAACACTCCATCAAGACTTTGTTGTAGTGTTCAATAAGTATTGAATGATTCAGCTTTTTACCATTTTATCCATTCCTTTTGGTCCAAGGCTTGTTCTAATAGCATCAGCAACCGCTGTAAACAAGGGTGGGGAAAAAAAAGAAATCATGACTCTTTAAAGAGCGATTTTATCCATTCCTTTTGGTCCAAGGCTTGTTCTAATAGCATCAGCAACCGCTGTAAACAAAGGTGGGGAAAAAAAAGAAATCATGACTCTTTAAAGAGCGAAGTATTTCTCCTCTTAAGCAATCATTTATTTCGCCCTTGTTAGGATATGGTGTACAACAGTTCACTGCATCCACTAAAGAAAACTCATTGCGTAATAATAATCTACTGGAAACAGTAATTATTTTACTTCTTTTAAATGTATGATGTTCCACTTTTTTTGTTAAAGTCACATAACTCGTGTTCTACCTATTGCAGAATACATTTTGAGGATTTACCTAATCTTCCTTTAACTATCAAAATAGTACAATCTGGTTATGAGCTCTGATTGTGAATGCATTACTTCCTTCATTCCTTAAAACAGGACAAACTAGACTTCCTAACATATTATGTAAATTCACTTTACTGTGTCTCTCCCCACGAGAGTATAATCTCTGAGAGCAAAGACTTTTGTTCACTAATGTGAATGTGGTATACTGATGGCCTACAGTAAAAATTAACAGTCAACAAGAGCAAACCACAGTGGCACAACCCCTGTAAATGCTGTACAGCAACACACCCTTTGACAAAACCAACAAACAAAGCAAAACCCCAAACCCTCAAATCACAGCTTTCTGTCATCATCAGTAAGTTACAAAACATCTCTGGGTATACAGTCTATCATTTTAAGGTTACTTGTTCTTACTAACTGCTCATGAGAATGTTTCCATTTCATTAATTCACTTTCATTTTTGCATACTTCACAACTAGCATAATGCTTTCCCCACAATGTGGGAGTAATAATACATAATCCTAAAGAATTTAAGAAAAAATACTTCGAATAATCTTAAAATTATATTCTATTTGATTATTTCATAACTTTGGTCTACTGTTCCTAATTATCCCGGCAATATCACACTTTCAGGTGATTTTAGTGGATGCATGGCCATGATTGCACTAAAGGGACCCACTTTAAGAATGCCCTTATCTTTACTAATGTGAAGACTCTAGAAGGATACCCACTATCCAAATAAATAGAACATTTTAGAATTCTTACATCTCTGGAAGTGTCTGAAGTTTAACATCCCAGGTAGCACAAAGTAGGTACAAAGTTGTGTCTGTTAAAAGACTCATGCTTAATAGTAATAAAACTACTACTACTCCTGTGTGTGGTTTTTATCAAATGATACTATTATGTCTTTTTTTAATAACACCACAAATACTTTTAAAAAACTAGAATTAAACTAGTCCCAGAATTAAACTAAGGATGCATCTGGCAGCAGATTTACTCAATCATTTTGTAGGGTTTTGTCCGACCCAGAGAAACTAGTTGTGCCTCTTTGCTCTCTGACATCTCCTCACTTAAAATATAAGGGGTCACGTGCCCAGATAATTTAGGTTGCCTTTCCTTTCTACGTGCTTATCTCCTTTGCTGTTTCAATTCTCTGTGTACTGTTGTTTCAAAGATCAACATAAAGTAAACTTCCCATTTTGTATCTTCCTTGTTTGCTGAAAACCAACTCTGAGCCTTCTGGACATCCCCATAATTTAGCTTTCAACATCCTGTTCCTAATCTAATAACTGTAAGCTTCAACTATGCTCCCTAAACAACAATCTACCAAATCCTGATTTCCAGGTATATTATCCCCTGAACTTCCAAATGACTCCTAATCTACCCATCTGGTCATTCTGACCTCTTCAACTCATTAGGCCCAAATTAGAAACTAGCATTGCCTTTTCTTCGACCATTCTTCCCCCAGGTACCGATTCAGTCTTTTTTTTTTTTTTTTTTTTTTAGCATCATCACGTTCCTAGTCACTTCGGTTGATGACCGCAAATACCTGTAAGATATACTTTATATACATATATAACACTTTCTCGCTTAATATTCACAGTAACCCAAGCTAGTTATTACCTCTTTCTACTGAAAAACGATGTGTAACGGGTGGTGCTTAAGCCAAATGCTTTCCAGGACAGCAGGCCCTTCAAGACATGGCACCGACCTACTTTTCCAATCTCATCTCTCACTTCTTTATGCACCTTACTCTCCAACCCAAATGAAATACGCACTATACTCAATACACACCCGGCAAGATCTCTAAGCCTTTGTTCCCACTTTTCCTTCTAGATTTTTTCTTTCAATCTCAACTCGACTTCTCTTAATTTTCACAACTCTAAAAAGCAAACATTTTCTTCCCAAATTTTATAGGTAAGGAAATCTTGGCTCAAGGGTTAAAGGTTATAAAGTAACGGAAGCAAAGCATGGAACAGGTATTCTTGATTTCCGCCAGGTGCCATACTGTTCTACAAAAAACAGTAAAGAGATTGCACATGCAAAGACAACAAAAAAGCACAGTGTAGCTTTCCACCATTACTCCCAAACGAGGCGGATAAATCAGTTCCCCACACCCCAGGACAATGGTCCCCGCCCCAATTCAAATGCGGAGTTTACCCAACTCGTCTTAACAGTTGGGCCGAGGGAGGCTTACACGAATAGCACAAGCATAGGAGAGCTGAAAAATAGTGGGCAAAAAACATTCTTCCAGAGGGTCCAGTAAGCAAATAAAAGACAGCTCTTAAATGTCAGATCACAAGAGACCGCTGCACGGAGTCCCCGGCATTTCAGACCGAATTGCTTTCGGTTTCAATGTGATGAATGGGGTACAAACCAGGATGAAAAACGACGGGCGACTAAGACCCAGAAAGGCCTCCATACTCAGGGTCGGGAGCCATCCGCAGGAAACAAAAAGGACCCCTCCACAGAGCTGCTTCTACTGGGAGGACAAGAGGGGATCACCTGAAGAAACAGGAAATAGGCCATACACAACCAAGACCAGGGTGACAGTGCAGAGTTCGACCCGCACCAAGGCGGTCAGGCCCGGGGAGCGACCGATACCTTTGGCCGCGGAAATGTTGCTGAAGCGGATCTGGGCCGGCTTGTCGCGGTCCTGGTAGGCGCTTTCCCCCCGGCCGCCGGCAGCCCCGGCGGGCGCTCCGCTGCGGGGTGCCACGTTCTCGGGCATGGTAAACTTGGCTGGGTCTGCGCGGCCTCGGGAAGGACGGATGGACGCGGATTCTTGCCGGCCACGGAGTAACGGAAGGCGTTCGCCGCCTGCACGAACTTTCCAGAAAAGGACGTGGGCGCCGGGAGAAGGAGGAGGCGGAGAAGGGGGCCTGCCTGGAGGCGAGGCGCCGGCGTGACGCAGGAGGCTGCCCGCCGCGCGCCGGGCGAGGTGGCTGCACGGGGGGAGCTCCGGGCTCGGGGGTTTCGGCCCGGGCGTTGGGAGTGGGGGGCGCGGTGGGGCACACTCACGGGGAGCAGCAGTCACAACGCGCGATTTTAAAGGCGGCTTTGGGGGACACCCCTCTCTCCCCACGCCACCCTCTACGGCTGTGAGGTCCCCTCTGTTGATTCAGGCTGGACCTATCCGCCGAGTGGGTGTGGCCAAGTCGGTTTGTGCCTGGCCGTGTAGACCAGAATTGGAGTCGATTTTACTCAGTCTGAAAGGGAGTCGGAAGAGAGAGATTTGGAACGGGTGGATGCTTTTCTTTGCTTTAAATGTTGAGGTTGGTTGTTTCGGATTGTTTGATACAGGTTGATAGGTAGAGGTTTATTTGTTTGTTTATATTTTTTTGGTAGGTAGGAGTTAAATACACCCTGCTTAAATGCCAGAGATTCTTAGCGTTTTGGAGCTGTGACTATCTGCCAAATCAGGACTGCCTGTCTAGTTATTACAACCAGCTCGTTTTACACTAGTTTCTCCCACACTCGTAAGGAGCCCAAACATTATAATAATGATTATTTAATTCAGTCATCTGCCAAGCACAGTGCTAAACCTTCACACGTTTTATCTCATTTGATCCTCACAATAATGTACATATAGGTGCCATTATCTTTATTTAGTGGATGAGGAGAACTGGAGAGGGAACTAAACCCAACGTTAACCGGTAAGTAGATTGAGGCAGTAAGTATTCCAGTACACAGCAAGGACGCCAGAAGTCCTGAGCTAAACTGCTGGGTTCCTATTACTACTACATTTGAATAGGGAAGTTTATGCAGGCGAGGTTCATTCAATATTCATTCACAAATAATTATTCAGCGCCCATAAAGTGACAGATTCTTGCGGTAGATTAAAGAACAATTGTTCGAAGTACTTAATTCTGTGATCACGAGGTACTTATACAGGCATTCAGGATATTAACAACAGGAATTGAAGCTTCCTAGGTGCTCCACTAAACTGCTGGGTTCCTATTACTACTACATTTGAATAGGGAAGTTTATGCAGGCGAGGTTCATTCAATATTCGTTCACAAATAATTATTCAGCGCCCATAAAGTGACAGATTCTTGCGGTAGATTAAAGAGCAATTGTTCGAAGTACTTAATTCTGTGATCACGAGGTACTTATACAGGCATTCAGGATATTAACAACAGGAATTGAAGTTTCCTAGGTGCTCCGTGATCCATAAGCCTCTGGGACAGACTTCTCTTCAAAGGACCGGATTACTCCCATGTAGCTCATAAGCGTTCTATGACTATTTGTTTAGACAACTGATGTATGATGGAAACAAGTTTATAGTGATGGAAAAAGCATTAATTTGGGGGAGTCTAAAATCTTGGGTTTGAGTTCCAGCTCTGCTACTTATTAGGTATGTGATCTGGGCAAGTCACTTAAGTTCTCTGGGTCTCATTTTCCTCACCTATTAAATAGGAGTGTTGAATTGCATGGTCTTTAAGGGCTTGTTAAATTCCACTGGTTCTATGAGTGTAAGGAGTAGACCTGTCAGCCATAGAGGACAGAGCAGAATTTAAAAGATGCCATTATTGGCTTCTTGGGACAGTCTCGGTGGATATGACAATTGCTTTAATTATCTGAAATGTTCAAGTTATACATTTTTTTACTTTTCCTTGCCAACTGAAATTGGAATCATTTTTGTTCCTGGGATTAAGCAGTATATAAATGTTAAATATTTGCTTGCATTAACGTGTTGGTAAAGTGTTGTTAAATAAAAATTGTAAGAGGCCATTGCTTTTGTAATAAACTCCTGCACTAGGCCCCAACAAATCAGACTAAAAATCAAAATGGAGTCACCCAGGCTCACCAAACCCAAACTAGATTGTTATCTGACAACCAGGAAAAAGAGAGAACAATGAATTTCCCAAATAGTCCAGTTTAAATCTTCAATATTGTAAACATGAATATGGTAATTATTCTGATTTGATCACCACGTATTGTACACAGGTACTGATACCCCACAAATATGTATAATCAATTATGTTTAAATAAAAAAACTCAAAAATAAATAAATTGAAGACTTGCTCAGGAAAAAAAAATATCTTCAATAGGCATGATAATGAAGTTCTCTCTGCTTTAATTCATACACAAAAGCAGTAACCTGATGTAACCTGACATTAAACATCAGTTACCTTTTGCTGGCTGGTACCAATCAGTTTTGTTTTGTTTTTTTCCCATTGTTCTGTCCCCTTGTTCCCACTTTTCAAGGAAAGCAACTTTGAAATTTCCGATCCACTTTCTGTTCTTTGTTTCTTGGTACCAATCAGTTTTGTTTTGTTTTTTTCCCATTGTTCTGTCCCCTTGTTCCCACTTTTCGAGGAAAGCAACTTTGAAATTTCCGATCCACTTTCTGTTCTTTGTTTCTGCTTTCTTTTTTTTTTTTTTCCTTTTTGTCTTTTTTACTGACCGGCAACGGGATCGCAACCCTCAGTGTTGCGCCTGCACCGCGCTCAGCCAGTGAGCGGGAACCGGTCTCCACATGGGATCCGAACCCTCGGCGGGAGCGCCGCACTCCCAAGCGGCGCACTCTCCAGTGCGCCACCGGGCCGGCCCGTTTCTGCTTTCTTGAGCCCTTTTTCTGCCTATAAAGCCAACCTCTCCTGATCAGCTCATCTGAACCCTTATTCTACCTTATGGAATTCACCTTATGTTGCCTGATTGTAGAATCACAAATATAGCCATTTGAGAGCTTTAAATTTGTTACAATTTTGTCCTTTGACAATGTACATTAATTCTCCATTAGAATGGAATTTCAACAAGTATTAAAACATACAAACTTTTCTAGGGTACTTCATTAGCAATAGTGCTAATGAAGGATAGAAATATTTAAAAAATCCTATCCTATCAGATCCAAGCAGATATAAGGCATATGTGGGAATGTTGGAAATAACAATAACCTTGTAGAATTTGTTTAATGATTTGTGAAATAGGTTTTACAAAACAATGATGCTTGGTCAATCACCCAAATGAGTGTTCTCTTTAAGATAGATGGCACACGGGCCGGCCCCGTGGCATACTCGGGAGAGTGTGGCGCTGGGAGCGCAGCGATGCTCCCTCTGCTATATAGGAATGGCCGGTGCGCTCACTGGCTGAGCGCAGTGTGGGTGACACTACACCAAGGGTTGCAATCCCCTTACCAGTCACGAAAAAAGACAAAAAAAAAAAAAAAAGATAGATGGCACACCATGTCCAAGACCCCCAATAATAGGACTGAGCCCAGCGCTGATTAGGGTTAGAAAAGGAGACAGGGAGGTATATATTCTACCTCTCAGGTTTTCTCTCCATTTCAAAGACAGTTTCTGTTGTTATTTTGTATTACCTATGTTTCTGCTCTGCATTAGGTTATGCTATTGAGACCACCATTAAGCCCTATTTTCCTAAGCCATACTATTGGCAGCATTCTTTTTTTTTTTTTTTAAGTTTAGCTTGCAACATTAACATGAAGCAGAGGCCTATTTTCATTAAATGTATTTTGATTTTCCTAATTTTCCTTGAAAGGTTTCTAGTTCACATTTTTATCAGTTAAAATATATTCTGAAAATGGAAAGAGGAGAAGCCAAAAGAGGGTATGGGAAAACTCAAGTTTTGTGATGTATGATAAGTAAACAAGTAACCAACTTTTCTATCTAAAAACAGGAATTAACTAATCTTTAATTATAGTAGTACTATCAAGCCCTACAAAAATTTCAACTCTGTGTGCGAAATAAATGATTATTGTTTTAGGGGTCTGGGACATAATGGGGCACAACACAAAAAGTGAGACAAGTAGACTTTATATACATCCTGATGGAAGAAAAAAAAATTGAACCCTAAACTAAGCAAGTTCTCAGATCTAAGTACCAATTAATACAAGGAAATACAAGGATAAAAGCATATATATTTTTAAACGATGCCTTACTGGCCAGCCAGCAAAATAAAACAAGACAAAACAAATTTTAAAAAAACAAAGCAGGAGTATGCAATCAATAAAATCCAGAGTGGGAAACTCATTAGGAATATGACCTGTAAATAAATGGCAAAAAAACTAAAATACCAATACTGAAGATGAAGGGGAACTTATAGTATAAAACAGACTTAAGAGACATTAAGTACGAGAGTGACACCAGCAAAATGGCAGAATATGAGCTGTCCCGCTCATGTCACCTGACAGCGACAATGATTTTCAGCCATCCACAGACAAAAGTGCCTCTGTGGGAGCCTTGGGATCCAAGTAGGAGGTTTTGAAACCCTGCTGCAGCACAGTATCCAGGAAGGATGGTTTGAGAGGGCAGAAACAAGCCTAGGTGGTGGACTCGCTGACCTTTGTCCAAGCTCAAGACTTGGAAAGGGCCCCATCCCCCTGTGGAATTAGGTTCCCTTTGACCTGGGTCCTGCTTCCAGAGCCATCCACCAAGGGACCTGGGAGGAGGCTATCATTCATTTCTTTTTTTTTTTTTGTCATTCATTTCTGTATCCCCCAGAGCCTAGCAGAATGGCTGGCACAAAGCTCTCAACTAATATCTGTGGAGTAGCTGGTTGAGTGAAGAGTGAATGGCATAAAGGCAGAATTGGAGAAGGTAGAATAGAGATAGGGGGCAGAGAGAGTTTATTGCAAAAGTTTGGGGACTTTGTATTTGTGCACCATTTCAGCTCACATTTTATATTTTAATGTTTTCAGAGATTATAAAAACATAATGTTTTTATATGAGATATAATGTTTTCCAACCTTATAAAAACACTCGTTGCCTGCCTGGGACCACCTGCTTAATGGAACTTATAATGAATACCTGTTTGGCCGCAATGAAAAGGAAACCTGTTTATAGGGAGGGCTGCTAGTTAGCTGTTTATAGTTTCCCTTTGAGTCAAAGCTTCGGGGTCTTTTTCTTATTGTTGCCTTGCCTTATCTACAAAACAGATTGTGTTTTGAGATGTAATAAAATAAAGCTTTGCACTTTGATCCTTTTGTTTGGAAAAAACTGCAGCTGCTACCAACCTTTAACAGTTGCATCGGCAATAGCAGCCCCTGGTGGCACAGGAATGAATTTCTTTTATTGGTCACCCTGTTATTTTGGAACTTGCTGTAGGCTCAGGCAGGCAGTGATAGATCCAGTGATATGTGGTAGAATATCCCACCGCAAAAGATGCCACTTTGGCATAAGGATTATTTTGAGCTAAAGGCATTTAAAAAACAGTAGGTGCAAAAAGAGCGCTCCAACCCTTCCCTTTTTCTTCCTTAAAGCAAAAGATAAAACGTCCATATGGAAGATGTCCTCCCTATACCAGAAGAAAAGCAACATTCTTATCATTAAGAATGGGAAGTTGAGACAGAAAATTCTGTACAAATAGAACTTGTTAAAATAATTATCTTACATTTGCCTCTGCACATAGTTTACTTTTCCACAATTGCCTCTCTTTTCAACCTAACATAAAAGAACTTAGGTTTTGCCACTTTTTTGGGTCTTCAGTACCTTATGAGGGCTCCCATGTCACGTAAAACATATATTCAATAAATTTGTATGCTTTTCTCTTGTTAATATGTCTTATGTCAGTTTAATTCTCAGGCAGCCAAAAAACCCTGACGGTAGAGGTAAAATTTTCCTTCCCTATGCATACATTTGAATAAGAGTTAAATAATGATAGTGATGTATGTACAGTTTTTTCCTCTGCTTCTAAAAGAGTCAACTATTTCTTGTGAAGGTTAAGATAGAACTGGGAGTACTGAGAGGAAGTTCTTAGTCAGGGCCCATGGAAAACTAGGTTTATAGGAAGACTTCAGAGGGGTTAATTAACCTATAGAAAGACTATAGAGGGATTAATTAACCCACAGATATTGTAGGCTACATATGGTATGTATTTGCATTTTAGGGAGAAAGTATCTGAGGCTTTTATCATATCTTTTTTTTTTTTTTGGTGGCTGGCCAGTATGAGGATCTGCACCCTTGACCTTGGTATTATCAGCACCATGCTCTCCCAAGTGAGCTAACCAGCCAGCCCACTTTTATCATATTCTGAAGGCATCTTATGATGTCAAAAATTTAAGAATAATTATGTAAGGTCCATGGCTTTTCTCTGTGATGTAGAATACATAGGTCCTTTAAAGCTTTTCATTGAAAGAATTTTGACTTTAGGATGTACTACTTATTTAATATTTTAATTAAATTTTTATTACAATAGTATTACATGTATACTGTAGACATTTAGAAAAATCAGGTTAGCAGAAAGAAGCAAATAAAAGCCATCCTCAGTTATTGAGAGATTTATACTATAGCCATGTTGGTGAACAACCTTCCAGACTTTTTTTAGCAGCTTGATAAATTCGACGATATAAACTTGCCATTCTATACTAGCTTACTAACTAGATCTTTTTGAGTTTAACTGGAACTGAATCTGTGACTTGACTTCATGGAGGATGGTCACCATGAATCAGCTCCCACCCGAGAAGTTCTCTGATGTTTATCTGCAATTTTATGATTATGCCTACACGTCCCTGCTTAGGCCACCATGAGTCAGCCCCCTACCACCTGTTCCTATAAAACCCTTTGGCAAGTCTAGGAAAAGTGGAGATGGTCTTTGAGACATAAGTCCACCATTTCCCCAGGCTGCCTGCTTCCTGATTAAAGGCTACCTTTCCTTGCACTAACACTTGTCTCTCGATTATTGGCTATTGAGCGTTGGGCAAATGGACCTTTGGGGTTTCGGTAACAGGAAGAAGTTATGTTATCTATGCATTTAATTTCAGAATAGTAAAGAAAGCATTAACAAAATATTTGTTATAGATAGGAACATTGGATCAGAGCCACTAATCTAGCTAGAAAGACAAGACACATGTATATAAAAAGGCAATTAACAACCCCAGCAAATACATTGTTATCAGGAAATAATTAAATTTTCTTGGACTAAGGGCCAACAGGTAAGGATTAGGCAGAGATTACATCTGAGTAATAGATGGTGTTCAGTTAGTGGGTTAGCAAAGTCTGGAATGAGATACAGCCATCCAAAGGTTAAACTGCAATCCTTACAGGATGCTACCCCCTCTCAAGTGATCAGCAAGTGATCTTTCTTTTGAGTAGGCTCTAGAGTGATGAAGGAAATCAGAGGAAGCAAAGCGATCCTATTGGAACTGAGTAGATATATCCATGGTGGCATCCGAAGGGGATGGGTTTTGCCTAGCAAAGGTAGGAGCTGCCAACACCGACCCCTCGGGGCGTTGCCCCTCTGCGTTTCCCGCGTGCTTTTGCCCAGGCTTTTTAGGCCCATCTCGGCCGCCGTGACGGGGCAGAGCTCAGCTGTTGACGGGCGGGGCGTTCGCAGACCATGGCGGGCGAGCTTGAGGGCTGCAAGTCCCTGGGCGGGCTGCTGAGCGGCCTGGCCCAGAACGCTTTCCACGGGCACGCGGGCATCACAGAGGAGCTCCTGCGGAGCCAACTCTATCCGGAGGTGCCACCCGAGGAGTTCCGCCCCTTTCTGGCGAAGATGAGGGGGATTCTTAAGGTACTGCTCTTCCCTGTCGCCTCCGCCACCCTCAGACTTGTCCCCAGTCTCCAAGCTGAAAATCTTTCCTCCTCAGGTCTCTACTCCGTGGGCTCCCCATTGCGCTTCTTCAGATCTAGGGAGCTCGCTCTGTCGTCGGTCCTCACTTTACCTAAGGGTGACTTCTTTCTGCTCAAGCTTCCATCCCACACCCCGACACCCACGGAGGAGAGAACTCTGTTTTATTGTTTTTTTGGGTTTTTTTACAAGACATTTCTTCTTTGTTGTTGTATAGGTAACAATTTCGAATTTCTTTGGAGGATCTTTGGATTCCCGACTTTTTAAAATTAAGAGCGATAGGTTGCCAGATTTCCCGGGTTGTGGAAGTTGGTTTTAAAGTGAACCAGTGTCTGCCGCTATAAGGGGTGCATTATTAGGCCAGAGTGAACACTTGTCAAGCAGTCCACTGTACGGTTGAGAGAGCATATTTACCATTTGAAGTTAAAGTGTAGGTCAGGCTGTCCAGTAGAAATATATGAGAGCCAAACATAGCAGGTGAAATTAATTTTAGTAATATATTTTATTTAATCCAGTCTATCCAAAGTATTATCACTTCACATGTAATCAATATACAAAATATTAATAAGATTTTATATGTATTTTTTTCACTAAGTTTTTGAAATCTGATGTGTATTTTACACTTGAAGCACATAGCACTTAAGACTAGCTACATTTCAAGTGCGCGGTCACATGTGGCTAATGACTACTCTATTGGACAACTCTGCTTTAGACCAGAACTGTCTAGGAATGGATCTAGTGCCAAAGTGTACTCTAGAATAGACTGTAAAAATAATTACTGACTTTTGAGGGTTTCTTATGTGTTAGGAGCTGTACTAGACATTTTACATGTTATTTGTTTCTTGCATAAACCTTATATGGTGGACACCCATTTTAAAGATTAAGAAACAGATTCAGGGATTCCAAACAGTTAGCCTAAAATCACATTTTGATTAAAATCAATGTTGAAATTTCATCTGCTATCCTTTTGCATTTCCTATTTGTTTCAAAATTGCTGTTGCTTTTAAAAGGCAGTTCTGTATTTTTTTTAAACTGCTTTTGCCTGTAGGATTTGAATCCAGAACAAAACAAAACAATTATTACATAGACAGTAAATGGATTGTAAGGGGTAATATCTCAGGTGAGATCCTAGTAATTTTAGTTGATATCATAAGCCACTAGTGAATGCCTCCTATTTTTATCAAATCTTACTCTTTGAGTAGTCAGAGAAGGTTTCCTGGAGAATTTGATAGCTGGGTTTTTGAGGTGTTTGCTAGGCCTGCGGGGATGAGGATAAGGGACTGCAGGCCAAGAAGAACAGCATGTGTGCAGGCAATGTCTTATGACTTCCAAACATTAGGGGCTACTTCTCTTTAGGTGGACCATAATTTGATTCTTTTGTTTTGTTATGAGATAAAATTGCAGGATGTTCAGAGAAGAGATCGCCTGGAAACTCTTTCCGTTGCTTTCTTTTAAATGCGTTGCTGAGTAATATCCATGATACTTAAGTTTTGTAAGTGGTTCTGGGTTGCAGAGCAGGATGGCTTTCTTGGTATTGGAAGTTGGCAACAGAAGATTTGTGTGTGCCTGGCAGCACATCCTCTGAAAATTTGATTGGTCTGAGGAACCAAAGGATATGCCTTTGATTGTTTGACTTAGGGCTGAAACCATGAGCTCAGGATGACATGTAGTTCCAATTTCATTTACCTTTAACGCTAAGGTTTAAATGTCTCTCTAATTCTTAAATATAAAAAGCAAACATGATTTTTAAACAAAAAGGCTCTGAGCAGAGACTGAATGTCCATTGCAATAAGAGGGAATATGCACGAATAAGCATGATGCAAGGATGTTATAGTATTTGTAAACAGAACTATAAGTAAGCAACTGTGGACAGAAAAGTGATAGTTCTTTCTGGAAGGCTTCTTGGAGATGCTGTTTTTGCTGCTTTTAAAGAGAGTGTAGAATATTTTAAACTGAGATGAGGGACAGCCGTATAGGGCATTCTAGGTAAAGAAAATAGCAGGGGTGGGGCAAGAAATTGTAGAGCAGGTTCAGGAACTGGTGAATAGTCCAACTTGATCATGACATGGGGATACAGTGTATTGATGGAGGAGGCAAGAAAAAGTGAAAAAACCTTTTATTTCTTTAATCCTGCTAACCTTTATTGATTACATAATGATTGATGACATATAGATGACAACATATAGATGACAGAGTTTATACTTTTCTGTCATCTACAGAAAATCATGGTCTGTGAAAAAAGTGAAAATGAAGAGGGACAACAGGAGTAAGAGGGAAGGGAAGAAGGGACATATAACTTTGAGCAGGGAATACAGTGTGCATACATGTTAACAGCCTTCTTAATGCCAGATGCCTGACAATACGTTTCATAGGCTGTGTTTCAGATTCTGGTGCTCCCTGAGCTACAGGCTTTCCCTCTAACTTTCACGTGTGCGCTCAAGTATTATGTACCGATTCCTGGCGTTTACTAGTCCCTGTTTTCCACTCAGAATGGGGCCCTCCTACCCTACTTCGTTAGGACATTGACCCTCTGTAGCTTTGCCTGTTAATCACAAAAAGGCAAACCTTTCATCTGCTTGTAGTTGAAGCTGGCCATTCACATGCACTGGAAAAAAAAAATCAACTATGAAGATAGATCACCATTTGTACACTTATGTTCTGTATTCACTACTGCCCTCTGTTGGTGATGATTTTGTATTTCCTCACTGGAATTACATGTAAAACAAACAATTTTAGTGAAAATTCTATTGAGGGTTTTTTTGTTTGGTTTTGTTTTTTGGTGGCTGGCCAGTACAAGGATCTGAACCCTTGACCTCAGCATTATATTACCATGCTCTAACCAACTGAGCTAACCCTCCAGCCATGAGTTTTATTTTATTATCGTTTGATACACTCTTGTATTCAGTTATATCAATCAAATGTTGATTTATCCATTTTACTTTTCCACTATAATATGAATTAAAAAATATGTTTAGGTCCTGTTTTAGAAATCTAGAAATACATGTAACAGATTATGGATTGGACTTTCTGTTCCAGTCCTGCCCCCTACAGTCTTTTCTCTGCACAGCTACCAGTGATCCTTTTACATACGTTGATACCTCCTTAACTCTCCTGCTGTCCACCGTTTCATGCTCACGGCTTCACATCAAACTTGGAACAAAATCCAGACCTTTTACCATAGCCCACAAGTCCTTACATGATCTCAACCTTACGTATTTCTCTGATCTCATTTTCTCATTTCCAGTACTAACGCTCTTGTTTTTATGTAAACATTTTAAGTGTTTTTGGGACCTCTTCATGACGTTTGCAGCTGATCTTCCATAGGCCTACAATGCTCTTCCTTCAGATATTCATACGAATTGTTCATTCGCTTTATTCATTCTCTACCTAAAAGTCATTTTTTGTGAGTTCTTCCCTGGCCTATCCAAAGAGCCTTACCCTTCCTCTCCCACTGTTTTTACCCTGCTTTACTTTTTCTTCATACTTTTTATTATTATGAAATTTTATTATTTTGAAAATTTTATTATTATAAAATTACTATGTACTCGTTAGCTTGTTCATTTGTTGACTTCCCTATTGGAATGTAAGTGTTAAGAAGTAGGACTTCATTACTATTTTTATTTTCTTTTTTATACTGCATACCTGATACTGTTTCTGGCATGTGGTAGACACTTAGTAAAAATTTGTAGCATAAGTGAAAGAATGGATAGTGATTAAATGTGACGATTGACATTACAAAGATGAGCATAGAGAGAAAACCTATACCACTTCTGTATGGGAGAGATGGAAAATGTAGTACTCTAAACCAGGGGTCAGCAAACTATGGCCCATGAGACTAATCTGGCCCGGTGCCCAGTTTTATAAATAGGCCCGGTGCCCAGTTTTATCAATAAAGTTTTATTGTACCATGGCCATATGTTCATTGATTTCCGTCTTGTTTGTAGCAGCTTTAGCCACTGTACTAACGGAGTTGAGTGGTTGTGACAGAGATTGTGTGGCCTTCAAAGCCTAAAATATTTACCATCTGAACATTTACAGAAATATTGTGCTGACCCCTGCCCCAAACATCTCTTTTTAACTCATAATGTTTAATATTTGGAAACATTATAATACATAAATTATGTTTAGACGTAGGTTACTTAATAAATATCTAAAAACTGGAAGTAGGGATTATTTTTCAGTACTCGAGGAATTTCACTAACTTGTTCCTTAGACTTAAGAGATCTGTGGTAAATGAAAAATGACTAATATTTCTGTATTACTAAGTGTGTGTTCTTAGTAAGACATAGATAGAATTTGAATTTGGAAATTTTGTTCACATTTGGAGGATGTTCATATTTGTTCATATTTCATTATATGTTTATTTATTTATTTATTTACTTTTGACAGCTGGCTGGTATGGGGATCCAAACCCCTGACCTTGGTATTACAAGGCTGCACCTAACCAACGGAGCAAACTGGCCAGCCTGTTTATTAATGTAATATATAATAACATAAAATTTAATGTGTGAGCCTGGTAATCAAGTGAAACTATCAACGTGTAAAAGCTGGTTTAAACTTTGCAGAAAATAACTTATCAGTAGCGTGATATTAAGAATTATAATAAAAAATAAAAGAATTATAATAGTAAAAAACTATGAGAAATGTTTGAACACCTGATTCTGTCTCTCCTATTGAAGCCATGAAATTCTACAATTTGTTTGAGAATTAGATTGACTGGAAAGGAAAGACCTGTGGCAATACATTTTTTGTATATATCCTACAATATCAGCTGGATTTTGCGGGGGGGGGGGGGGGGGGGGGG